CTTTTACCCCACTCAATATTGGCATAATCTTATCCCACCTCTTCCTCGATAACACACTTCTGGCATTTATAGATGTAGTACACAACGTCATGCTTGTCCACTTAGATTTCACATCTCTGCCACCTTACGAGTCTTCTATGCTGCTGCTTCACGCCGTCAGCTCTAATCCTCCCTCTCCTAGCACCCCTGTAGTCTTTGTTGTTTTATTGCTTTAACATTTAAAAAAGGTTCCCTTCCTCACACATTTCTGCTTACCTTCCCCCTTTCCCTCTCCATTAGACCCAGACCATATTAGCTCAGATGAGCTTTTCGTGAACCCATCTCCCTCCCCATCTCTCTCTTTGTCTGCCACCTTCTTTCTAAGCTTCATAGCATGTGATTTCTTGCTTTTCCCAATTTGGCTCTCTTCTTTCTCTTGCTCTATCCTCAGTCCTCCTCCTCCTTCCTATATCATTCTTTCCTCTTGCCCTTGTCTCTTCTCTGTCTCAAAGTCACTTGTTCCACCTAATTTTCCTTCTTTTCCCTCCTCTGTTGCCAGATGCACCACTTTACCTACTGAAATTTCATTCTCTTCCTGCTCTGCTCTTCCTTCTTGTGGTGTGTCCTCCAGTGTCATGCATTCTGACTCAACATCTTCTTCTTCCCCACTTTTCCTTTCTTGTCTCTGCTGCTCCTTTGTAGATCTAGCTGTATTTGAGAAGGACCACGGGCTTTAGCACTGTAGGTGTCCCTCTTCCCTGCAAATAACACACTTCAGTATTTCTTGGCACTCCACCACCCCATCCTGTTTCCCTTCACATCTTTAGCATGTTGTGTACTGTCAGTATGATGTAGAGGTGTGTGAGGCAGGCCCTATTCGATTCAGATTCAGCCCAGATCAGGGACAGTGATTCAATTAATTGATTAGGATCACTGTCCCTGATTCAGTTCAGCCGAATCCGAATCTGAAAATTTGATGCTGTTTAGAGAATCAGTGATTCGGACACAGATAATTTAAAAGTTTTTTCTACATACCTTGAGGCAGCAGGCACAGCTTGTGAGCAGTGTGATGCTGGGGCGCATGGAGCATCCCACAGGAGTGCAGGGGGACCCTCCACGTGCTCAGTGGCAAACCCGGAAGTGCTTCCAGTCCACTTCCACGTCTGCAGGGGAGCATGCTGAGGGGGGGACCCCCTGTGCCCCCCCAGGCTCGGCGATCGGCTGCAGGGGGACCCTGAGTGCCCCCCCCCCAAACCCAGGAGGCACCAGTCACCAAGCCGGAGGCACATGGGGGGCCCCCCAGATGTCCCCCCGGCGGACCCAGAAGTGCTTCTGGTCCGCTTCTGGGTCTGCTGCCAAGCGCACTGGGGAACCCTCCGTGCTTCTGTGGGATGCTCCATGTGCTCCAGCATCGCAGCAATCATGAGCCCCTGCTACCTAGAGGTATGTAGAAAAAACATTTAAAGCTGTCTCTATGTCCAAATCTCTGAGTCTTTCTGAATCTCTCTGAATCAATTTGGAGGGTTCTGATTCGATTCGGAGAGATTAAAGCGTCTCCTGATTTGATTCAAATTCAGAGATTCAGCCACCAAATTGGGCCAAATCTCTGCTGAATCGAATCAGGGACCGAAGCTTTGCACAGCCCCAGTATGCTGCCAGGCGTCCTTCTTGCCCACACTTGCTACAGAATTTAGGCTGTCCGAAATAAATTGTAAACCCCCAGTGTGGCCCTACTTGGATTACTGGTGGTAAGTCCATATCCCACTTAGCTTTCTCTCATCCACCTTTATTACCACCCAAGTTCTCCACGACCTTGCCCATATACTGTATTTATCACATATCTTCTCAACATACATAACTTTTTGTACATAATTCTCCAACCATTTTTCTATCCCCCGCATCTCAGGCATGTCCGTGCACATTTAAATAATTAGCGTCCTTTCTCTTGTCTTTTCGCGCCCAGTAAAACTCACTGGGGCCACTATTGTAACCTCTCACTGCGGCCACTACTCTGCTCCCTTGCTGGGGCTTCTAGACCTTACGCCCCTTGGGCCTCAGCTTGGCCTACGGCCCGCTCAGGCCTCAGGTGTCTGTCAACATGCCTGGGCCCTGTGCTTTTCTGTTGGGGTGTTCTCCCCTAGCCTTTCCCCTCCACAGGATCACCCACAAGGCAGCGAGGGCTGAAGCTTCCAGAGCCTCATCCTAGCCTTTCACTGGGGAGGCACAGATGTGGCATTTCCTGAGGGCTGCCACGCCACAAGCAGCCCCACCATGCCATCCTCCCCAGCAGGGTATAGTTTTAGGTCATGCCCTAGGACTAGGAATCTCCTCCACCTCCATAGTTCCTACCCTGACCCTCCAAGATGTTCCTGGGAGCAGCAGTACTCTGGACAGGAGATGTTACTCTGGCAGCATCCCAGCAGCAACAACTGACTCCACTCCTCAGGGCCTGCTCTTATGCTGAGGCAGCACAGCCTTGCTCCAATCAGGCATCCTGCTGGCTGTCATGTGATAGCCTGATTCACTCTGCAGCCACATGCAGGCTGCCTCACAGCCTGCTCAGGCCCTTAAGGTGGCAAGCACCCACAGGTGTGCTGCCACACGTCCTCTCCAAGGCTGCCACCAATGCTATTCCAGGCTCTGAGAACTCTTCTTCCTCCATCCCAGTGCTCCAGCACTTTCCCCCCCAACACCATGTTTGTCTGGCCACTGGGCGGGCATGGCTCAGCGTAGCCATGGCACAGAAGTGGGATCTGACCCCGACCCAGCCCAGCTGGGCCAGGTCTGGGACACTGTGGTCCAGGGGTGTGTGGGGCGGGGTTGGGGGCAGGTGAAACAAAGCACTTTAAGGCTGTTTGCAGACAAAAGAAAAACCAAACAAACTCACGCTTTCCCAGAAACAGCAATGCGTTACTTCAACCCAGCTCTGCAGCATCTGTATAGACTGGGTGCTTCAGCAGTGCTTTTTGGTGGGTTTAGCTAAAGCTGATTCAATGTGCTATTAAATAAAAGCTCCAAAAAAAGCCCCACTAAAGTCCCCACTATTTACAGATGCTTCAGAGCCGGGTTGAAGTAACACACTGCCTCTTTTGGGCGTGTGCAGGACTCAGCACAGGAGTGCGCCGAATTTAAAATAAAGCACTTTTTGTTTTGTTTTGTTTTTAAACATCTGCAAAGCAGCCTAGGTGCTCAGTTTTAGCTACTTCAGCAAGACAACTAGGTTACTCTCTTAATTAAAAGGAACAACATAGCTTGAAGGTTCCTCTTTGATGAGAAGGCAAACTGACCTGAAAACTGCCCTGTTTGTGCTCTCCTGGTCATTTAGGGTGCATATACATATGCAGTGAGGCTGTTCCAACGCCCTGTAATTAGACTCAATTAATTGAGTCTACTGAAGCTTGGTAATTACTGCGCTCCAGCAGACTCCAGTGTCACGTGTATTAGGGTCCCCACACTGAAAAATGGTAGCGGGGCCACTTTAACTAAAGCTCATTATGAGCTTTGGCTAAAGTGCCCCTGAAAATGCAGGGATGCTAATACATGTGACGCTCCGAGTGCTTTAAGTAGAGCGGCTCTCGGATCCCCTCTAATTAAAGTGTGTGTGTGTGTGTGTGTGTGTGTGTGTGTGTGTGTGTGTGTGTGTGTGTGTCCCACTCACAGATCAAGTCTGTAAACACCCTTAGGGGATTTTCTTTTGTGCTTTCATGGGCCTAGGCTAGCTTCACCCCTTTATTAGGGACTTGTGAGGCCACAGGCAGCAATTACTTAACAAGAAGCATGTACCACCTGCTCAGAGGAAAACCTCCAAACAAACAACCAGACAAACACTCACCAAACACACAAACAGACCAAATTCACCAACCTCACTTCTCCCAGAAGCAGGATCTGGTGCCTGGCTCCTCTTCCTCTTCCTCCTTTTGCCACCAGTGAACTATTTGCAAACTGCCATGTTTGCTCTCCTGGGTCTGACCAATAGGACAATAAAGTTTATTTCTCTTCATTATCTTTTATTTTTAAGGCTTGTATGACACAGAGTTGTATAGATTTGCTCTGTTTTAAATTGAGTTATATTGATCTAGTAGGTGCAAGTAAAATTGATGTATATCAGGTTTAAAGTGCTGTGAGACTGTTCATAGACAATGCTACACCCATTCAATGAAGTCACTTTAAAGTCGCACCTGCAGTTATACCTGTGTACCTTCTGGATACATTTGCTTCCTCCAACTTCATTGGTCAAAGGAAGTCGATTCTCTGTGTGGGAACAACTGGTGCTTGTGATGGCAACAGGCAGGGACACAAGGGCTTCCCAGACCTTGCTGGGAGAAAGTATCCGCACCAAGGCAATTCTCTAGGGTTTGTGAAATGGCTGAAAAGCAATGTAGAAACCAATGGAGGATAATTCTGAAAACTAGATAAGAAACATGTTGTAAATTAGCTGAGACTCAGAATGTCTAGCTGATCTTCCCACGTCCCCCTCTATCTCAGCACACCCACCCTTCTTATTTTGGCTCTGTTTAGCAACCAATTGTTTTTCTCCTTGCTAGAGCTAAGTGCTTGGGGCTTGGTTTCAGGACAAGTGTCTGCAGTGCCCACTGACTTCATTTGTCATCATTGGTGCTCAGCACCTCTGCAAACCAGGCAGATTTGAGACTTAGGAACCCCTTCTTTTTAGACCATACAGGAAAGGAACTCTAGCTATGAGAGTCCTCAAAGCCAGTCCTTGCAGATCAAACAAAGTAAAACTACAGGCCAGGATGCTTTTAACCACAAAGATATTCTCAGTCAGTTCAGACCTGGTGTGGGAATGGGAAAGAAAAATCCTTCCTGGCCTAATTCAGTTATCTCCTATGACTTTAGGGTGCTTATTAACAAGTGCAACAATTCATTGCATCAACCAGGAATCCCACATAGATTGAAATCAGAGGAATAGTTGGAGCCCATTTCTGTGTAGCCTGGAAAGGGCATAAGGGAAAGCATTCATTATATGCATTGCAACTGATTTAAATCTCTCTCTTCTGCAGATGGAAAAGGATATGAGAAGTGACACCGAGGAAAGTGACAAGGGTGAAGAGGAGAAAGAACAGATGAGGGAGAATGAGAAAAATGGGATGGTACATTTTAACAACATCACAAACAACAATTGTATCCAAAGTAATGGAGCCCAGCAGCGAAATACCAAAACCCCTTTTTTAGTCAATGGCTATGCCAAAGAAAGATAGCATGGGCTAAACTTCCTGCTGATCCTGCCTATATCAAATTCAGGCCACTGTCCTATGTTGCTCATTATTTGGACATAAAGGGATATGATTTTAATTTCATAGTTACGTTTCTACTTCCCACGAACCAAAATTGCATATTGCCGCTAGAGATGCAAAGGTTGCTTTTGTTCTGCTATCCAAAAAAATGTATTTTATATGTTGTAGTTTTGAAAAAGAAAGGGATAGAAGGGATCAAAGAGACTTGGTTTTAACAAGTTTTTTTATTATCTGTGTTTATCTTGAACAATACTTTGAGCAACTGATAAAACCCCAGAAATTGTAACTTGCAGTCTTAACTGAGTAGTAGTGTTTGGCAGGAATCTGTTAATCCTAAAGAGTACATTCATGGAAATACAGGCATAGAACTACTGATGATTAGAAATAGAAAATAAATGCTTCATGTTTTGAGCAGGAAAAGGTCCCCTACTAAGCCGTAAGTATGAATGAAAGTCAAGGAGACTAGCTAAAAGGAAGCTGGAGAAGTCTCCACCTTCCTGGAGAAAGGTGGATGTGTCCCACAGCAACAGTGTCGTTACTGGAGGGATCCTAGTTCTCCCTAGGTATGAGATTTTCAGGTCTGTTCACTTTGTTCCATGAATGGGATTATAAGACTGAGATAGGATCTGGAGCCCAAGCACTCAGCACCCTATTTAGATCACAGTTTAGATAAACAGGATTGCCAACAGTCAGCACTCCCCTTTCAACCCATTTCTCAAATCAGTATTATGTTAGAGACAGGAGGGAACAAGAAAATAGACATTTCAGGAGACTGCCGCGTTTGTGGAGACCTGGAGCGTAGCAGGTGCCAGGCCTCAGCAGTGGCCGCAATGCTCCCTGGTGGCCACATAGTACCTGCCCCACTTTGGCTTTACAGGTACCCTTCCCTTTTCTCCCTCCTGCCACACCTTGATGTAATTGGTTAATTTATAAAAAGGGAGGAGGTTGCCTAATAGTCCTCAAATGAGCCTTTGTCAGTCTTCCAGCTGGCAGGTCCTTCCTGGACCCCACTGGTCTCAGTCTTGCCCCTCAAGTGCAAAGTGAACCTTCCTGGCCCATCTGTGCCCTCTGGACACTAATAGCCTAAAGGCTAATTTTGTGGTCTCCAACCTCCCCTGTAGGCACATCCATGCCTTGCAGATGTTACCATCCAATCAATCTCCCCTGTAAGGACCTTGGCCTTCTCATCCTCCGTCCCTTTCTTGCTGGGCCTACTAGCTCAGGCCCATTGTGCTGGACCTGGCTTCTGGGCTCCAGCCTCCACCCTACTCCTAGGCAGTGAACCTGCTGTGGCTTTGTCTCCATCCTGCACCTGGGCATCACGTCTACTTTTCCCTGCCCCTGGGCTCTGTCTGCCCTGCTTCCGGGCTCTGCTAGGACCTCCACCATCTCTTAGTCCCAACCCAAACTACCAATATAAAATTTTAACAAAGGAATAAGCCCTCAAGCTATAACCTAAGCTCCTAACTAGATCTGGAAATAAAGGCCAGTTCATTGGCTATCCTACAAAGCTCCCCGCTGCCCTTGGTCACATTCCCTTGCAAGTCAGTAGCATTGTACTTGCATTACTCCTAGAGTAGCCCAGATATCAGCTGAGAGCATCTCTGCAGCTCTCCTGCCCAAGAGCTCTTTCCTCAGCAGCCTTCAGCATCAGGCTGCCCTGACCTGGCTCAGGCTCTAAGCTTATATGCTCCCATCAGCCCTTCCCCTCTCTAGTTAGAAGACTTGCCTGGGCTGGCTGCAGGTATGCTCCTTTATCTTGTTGGGCTGCTCATTGCCTAGGCAACAACATTTCCTTGCTGCCTGCTTTCTCACAGTTGGCTTCTGTTTAGATGCTTGGGCTCTAGCTGCTGCAGTCTTTCTCTTAAACTAATAGGGCCCCTAAGCTCCCTGTTACATAGAGGTCTCACCTCCCTGAGGGTATTGCTATGGGAATCGAGCTTTTATGAAACATGCATTGTCCTTTCTCCACAGAAAGGGGACAGGGCAGCTGCTGAATCTTATGGACTGATGCTTTAATTCACTATTGTGGTTCCAGGACTCTGCTGTCTAGTTTACACTCAAGAGCAGAAAAGATTGAAGCATTTTTCCATGAAGTCATGATGCAACTGTGTTAGTTCCCTTTACATGTCTTGTACATTTGCTTGATTTTTATGTACTATATATATTTTAGTGACTGGAGATAATAAAGCCATTAAAGAGAGAAAATTATCATGAACTGAATCATTATCATGCCGACATACAAGCCAGAAGGTCATGACAAGCGAGAGAGAGAAAGTGAGTGGGAGATAGAGAGGACGATATAGAGAGAGGGCTTGTGAGCCAATCACAGCTTTTTTTAAAATAATTTTTCCATGTTCCAAGCCAAATCAGCCAAATCAGTTCCAAATCCATGAGTCAGTCCAGAACCAAGTGGTCCTACTACTGGCAAACATCCACCCCCATCTTGGGCTTCAGATGGTTCCAAATCCTTTGGCGGGCATCCTGCTTGCAGGCCCAAACCCAGAGGCTTCAGGTTCAGATGCCCCCAAGTTTTGCTTGCCCTTACCCATAAGGCCCCAGGAGCAATCTAGGGAGGAGTCTCCCTAGGCAGAATGTGAGAAAGAGAGACTGACAGATGTAGAGAAAGGGATGGAGAAATGACATGTGAGAAAATTACAGCTAGTTGGAGTGTCACAGTGAGTGAGAGACAGTGTGAGAGATAGAAAAGGATAGAGATAGGGCATGTGAGCAAATCACAGCTAGCCAGAAGGTTGCAGGGAGCAAGAGAGAGAGAGCGAAAGAGAGAGAGAAAGGAATGAAGAGATGGCATGTGAGATGATCACAGCTAGCCAGAGGGTCACGGAAAGTGAGATTGAGAGAGAGTGAGAAAGGGAGATATGGTGTGTGAGCCAATCACAGGTAGCCAGAGGGTCACAGCATGTGAGAGAGAAAGTGATTGGGATAGACAGAAAAAGGGATAGAGAGAGGGTGCGTGAGCCAATCACAGCTAGCCAGAAGATCGAGAGAAAGGGATGGAGAGATGGTATGTGGGTCAATCACAGCTAGCCAGGGGGTCTCAGCGAGCAAGAGAAAGAGTGGAGAGAAAAAGGGATAAAGAGAGGGCGTGTGATCCAATCACAGCTAGTCAGCGGGTCACGGCGAGCAAGAGAGAGGAAGTGAGGGACAGGGGAAATGGCTAGATAGAGAGCATGTGAACCTATCACAGCTAGCCATATATGGGGGTGGGGGGCACCTGCAGCACAGGTGTCACCAGTGGGAAGGGCACATGGCACATGAGTACTGAGCAGATGATTTTAGTGAACTGTCCACAATGGCTCTCAGGTCTCTTTCCTATGAGGTGACAGCTAATGTAGAGCCCATCATAGTGTATGTATAGTTTGGGATATTTTTGTCCAGCTGCACCTCTTTACACTTATCCACATGGAATTTCACCTCATCACTGCAAGCACGTAGTCCTTCTAATGAAGATCCCAGTTCTTGCAGTCCGAGTGGAGTCTCTTTATTATTGCACAGAGCTCTGTCCATGAAACACCTGCATCGGGAGCAGAACTAAGTACCACCCGGACACTGGCCAAGCGCATGTCACAGTCAGAGCAGATGCCCCACATGACCCACAGGGAAGCAAGGATGGACACAGTGCTCGGGAAGCAGCTGGTTCTGAGTTTCCTTGTTTGTTATTTTACAGGAACTAGGGCTTTCTTTTATTTTTGTGGGGGTTTTTCTATTATGCTGCTTAATAAAAGTCTCGCCCATTGTCCATCATATAACCATAGCATTCGTTGCATGCCTAAGACCAGGATATTGACAGGGGAGAAAAGTGTCAAAAAAGCACCTACCAGCACATCAGTTTATGGGGCAGGCAGTAGAAAAAAAACACAGCCTCCTGCATTGCTACTAGCCAGGCAAGATATCCCCTCCCCCAGCCAGAAACCCAGCACCCTCATGGGTTGGCAGCAGAAGAAAATCACAGCCTCTGTGGAAGCTGCCACCCACATAGTTCAAGTTGTCCTCTCCCCTATCCTGCCTGAAACCCTCACCATGCTCACCCTCTCAGCATGCCCTTCCCTATTCACTACCCCCCAGGCAGCATCCTCTGTGTTCCTGCTGCCAACTCTGGAAAAGGCCACATGAGAGTACAAGTGCAGTTGGCAATATTTAGTCATGTGCAAGTCTCCATTTTATGAGCTACTGCATCAACCCTCATCCCAGCACCTGGCAAAGTGCTCCGCCAGGCCATCTCATACATGCATTGCCAGACAACCAGCTTTCATGTGACACTGCACAGTCATGATGCCTCTGGGTGCTGGAGATGCTCCTCCTGCTGGCAGGAGCTCAGACAGATGCTCCTTGTTGGCCTTGCAGACATTGTGCAGCGCTCACGCAGAGACCACAAAGCAGGGTGTTACACTCACTGGCATCCATCCATGTCCTCAGGCACCTCCACCAACCCTGGGGGTAACTAGAAGTACACTCCACAGCCATCTTGCAGCAACTAGTAAAATGCTTCATCTGTCAAGGCTATAGCAGGTAGGTGGGGTCACCAATAATGAGGTGGTGTACACTCTCCCTCCACCTCACTGTCATGCATGCCAGGGGCAAACTCTATTTGCTTCATCAGTTCAGGGAGGTGGGAACTCCTGAATATTCTGGTGTCATGCACCCTGCCTGTCCAGCCAAGATTGACGTGCCTGAAATGCCCACAGTAATCCCCAACTGCCTGAAGTACAACTGAGAAGAAGCTTTTTCTGGTTGATGAAGTCACCACCCTGGTGCACAGGAAAAAGGATAGCGATATGTGTACCACTGATGTCTCCAAAACCGCTTGTGGTGGGAGAAAACTCCCTGGAGTTTGTTGTCTAGCTGCATAGGAACCAGATAACAAGGGTAAAGAATTAACTGCAGTTTATTTGCTCGAGCAATAACCATTAAGCCAGCAAAGAGGCAAAATGGTCATTGCTCAAGCAAATAAACTGCAGTTAATTCTTTACCCGTGTTATCTGGTTCCTATGCAGCTAGACAACGAACTCCAGGGAGTTTTTCCCACCACAATTTGGCACCCCAGATGGGACCCGTCTAGCTTGGCACCTTTGGAGGCCTCCATCCCCTGACACCCCAGCGCGCACCAGGTGAGTTCACCTATTGGGTCAGTCTCGGGAGGTGGACGGTCCCCTCAGGACCAATAAGGCGGGATCCTCAAATCGGGTAAAGGAACGGTACCGGTGAGTACCTCAGGTCAGGTATGTTTTTGGTTTCTATCTGGTTTCTGGTTTTCTGGTTTAACCTCTAGAGGTCTCTGGAAGCAGTCTTTGAGGGTATCCATCTGCCACTTTAAAAGCTGTTAGAGCGGCAGCGTGGCCGAAAGGCGAAAGACACAGATTTAAGGTAGAAATGCTGTTATAACAGCCAATGACTAGGGTCTCGGACTCAAGACGCCCCTCCTCACGGAGAAAGCCAGTGGGGTCCGAGAACACCGGTTGTTGTACGTGGACAAAACAGCTTCCAGGCAGGTAGAACTTAGGGAAATAAGACTGCTTATACTTAGATATAATCATGGGTTCTGGACTAGGATATTCACCCCTTGATTATATGATCAGGAATTGGAAACATTTGGAGGGACGGGCAGAACTGCCCAAGTCTCGTATGGCAGAACTCTGTTTAATTAATTAGATGTCTTATACGTCTCAGTTAGATTTGGGAAGACAATGGCCAAAAAATGGATCATTTAACCCAAATTGCCTGGCTGCCTTATGAAAGATCTTGGAAGACCTCTGCCTCGACCTAATGAATTATTGGTATTTATGAGACGATGTAACTAGTAAGCCTTTAGTCACCCCGACCCCTGTACCTTTCCCGAATTTGTTAGCCCCCCTTGAATGTCCAAAACCTTCCGCACCACCTTCATATTCAGATGATGATTATAAACCCATGCCCAGACCCCCTATCCCACCTGATCCGTTCATACCCGTGCTGGCAGGGGACTCGGGAAATTGTGGGGAGACATCACCCTGACTGCCTCCCGGCGACCACCCAAGTCCTGAGCCTGTAGATGGATCAAGGCATCCCTCTCCAGACTCAACCTTCCCGAACACTGATCCAACTCCCATAGCTAATCGTACCCGACAACGAGTACCTGCCCCTAGCCTTCTGGCTCCCCTAAGAGAATACCCTGTGCCTGGCGAGGGTGGAGAAGTTATCAGTCACTGGAAACACGCTCCATTCTCCACCACCGACCTCTTAAACTGGCAAGAAAACACCCCCAGGCTCAGAGATGATCCCAAAGTAGTTCTAAGGTGCTTCAAAACCATTTTCATGACTCATAACCCCTCCTGGTCAGATGTCATGAAGCTTCTCGAAAGCCTCAACTACAGATGAGAAGACCCAAGTACTACGCCGCGCTGACCAATTTCTAGCCGATCAGCAGCATCAAAACCACTACATGCCTAATGGTGTACCTAAGAAAAATCCAAATTAGAATTACAACAAGGAAGAGGGACAGAATGCAATACGTATGCTAAGAAGGACTAAAAAAGGCAGGAGATAAAACTACAAACTGGTCCAAAGTGACAGCTACTGTTCAGGGTCCCAAAGAACACCCTTCAGACTACTTTAAAAGACTCTGTAAAGCTATACACCAGTATGGAAACATGGACCCCGAGACACCTGCCACTTTACCTGTGTTAAGACTTGTATTCATAAGTCAGGCTAGCAAAGATATTAGAAAGAAGCTCCAACATAACACTGAGGGTGTTGAGGGTAAATCCATGGCAGAAATCTTAGCCATTGCTACTACAACTTGTAATAGAAAGAAAAAAAAAGGAAAAAAGAAAAAAAGAAAGACCAGTCCAACATTCGCATGTTGGCAGCAGTAATTCAGCCGTCAAATCCCTATAGAATCAATCTGCCCCATGGCCCAAGGCCCTTTGTGCCTAGGCCACCGGACCATACCCACCAACCGTATGGACCATTACTGTAAACAAGACAGACACTGGAAAAGAGAGTGTACGTTAAGCACTGCACTAGCCGCCAAAGGCCACAAGGTGTCACCAAGCAAACTTCAGTTCTGTAAATCCACTGTTAAATACTTAAGAGTTAACCAAACCACTTGTACAGCTTACCACAAAAGATGCAGAAGAACCAGTCTTTTGGGATCATGAAGCCTCCCGCAGCTTCAGTAATATAAAATCTGCTTTAACTTCTGCCCCTGC